TGGCTCCCATGCTCCGACATGTGGTCCAGGAGCAGATTTCCGAGGCTATGCCGGTGCCCTTGCAGCAGCCCCCCGTCACCGCGCCTCTTACTTACGCTGAGGCACTAAAGCGGCAGCAGCGACACCACCCCCCGTCGTTCCAGGGACTGCCGTATACCTCAGCCCTGACTCAGCCGTCCACCGCCTGGGTTCCTCCCATTGCCACCACAGCCTCGACTCACCCGTCTGCCGCATGAACTGGTCCCCTCGTCGCCAATACTTGGAGAACGCGCGATAACCGGCCCATCTGTTTTGCGTGCGGCGGCCCTGGCCATATCGCCCGTTACTGCCATCGTCGCGTGCCGGGATACACAGACGGCCGGACAAAGAACAGCTTCATGGACCTTTCTCCATCCCGTCTGGAAAACTCTGACCCTCAGTCAAGCTCGTCTTACGGGAATGTCCACGTACTATGTCTGGTCGCTCACCTTCACCCCGTCGTCGCTCTCTGTCACCCATGCGTCGTCGGCTAGCTCCTGAACACGAGGGAAACTAACCGCCGCAATTCAGGAGGCAAGAACTGCGCTGTCGAAATGCTCAAGTCCTCGGACATTGCCGTCGAATATTGTCGAAGTTTTTGTAGAAGGTACTCGAGCATATGCTCTAGTGGATACTGGTGCAGCCGTTTCCGTGATAGACGCTAAACTTTGCCGCAAGCTCCGAAAAGTGACGACGCCTCTTAATATGATGTCCTTGCAAACAGCGAATGGGGACCCGGTTCAGCCTGTAGCCGCCTGTACTGTCCGACTGATGATCGCGAAGGACCACTACACTGTTGAGTTTATTGTCCTGTCGTCCTGCTCACACGACATTATACTTGGATGGGATTTTTTATCGCGTAACCATGCCGTTATTGATTGTGCAAGATCAGAGCTTGAACTTTTCCCGTTTTACGACCAACCAACCAGCCGCATTCAGCCCGCCATACACAAACTCGTCGTCAAAGAAGGCACTTGAAATTCCTCCGACAGCAGCTGTGTTGCTCCCCGTGTTCTGTGACGGCATTAGGAACGAAGCTGCATTCTTTGAGCCATCAAGCCTCTTCCTTAGTCGAAGATCACTTCTTCTGCCTTATTCAACCCTCTCTATTTCTGAAGGAAACAGTGCTCTATGCCTCATCAATCCCCTTCCGTATCCCGTTGAACTGTTTCAAGGTGAATCTCTGGAACACGTGCATGCCATTGATAAAGAACAAATTTTTACCATGCCGCCAGATTGTTCCGGTGACTACGACGCCATCAATGCCCTCAACCCTTCCAATATACCACCTTGTGAGCTTTTCGATTCATGGATTGCCGACGGACTATCGCCATCTGAACGCTCTGAGCTCCTTCAGCTGCTCTACCAGTTTCGTGAATCCTTTGACGTTGCTCAACCTACCCTTGGCCGAACTCCCAGTTTTTCCCACCGCATCGACACAGGTTCAACGCGCCAGTAAGACAGCGACCATACCGTGTTTCCGCCACGAAACGACAGGTCATCACCGAACACATTGACGATATGCTCAAGCGCGACGTTATCCGACCTTCTTAAAGTCCATGGGCATCACCTGTCGTTCTTGTTAAGAAGAAGGATGGTACAATTCCCTTCTGCGTTGATTACAGGCGCCTAAATAAGATCACTCGCAAAGACGTGTACCCTTTGCCCAGGATTGATGACGCCCTTGATTGCTTACAAGGTGCCGAGTTTTTTTCGTCGTTAGATTTGCGTTCGGGGTATTGGCAGGTGCCCTTAGCAGATGGTGATCGTCCAAAAACAGCATTCGTGACACCGGACGGGCTATATGAGTTCAATGTCATGCCCTTCGGCCTCTGCAATGCGCCGGCCACATTCGAGCGCATGATGACTCGGTTCTGCGGGGTTTGAAATGGAACTTATGCCTCTGCTACCTCGAAGATATCGTCGTCTTTGCACCCGATTTCGCAACACACCTTGTACGCCGGAAACAAGTCCTCACGTGTCTCAAGAATTCGCATCTCCAACTGAATCTCAAGAAATGCCACTTCGCTGCTCGGACGCTCACCATTCTCTGTCAAGTCGTATCAAAGGATGGTGTTCTTCCCGACCCTGCTTAACTACGCGCTGTTGCTGAATTCCCCAAACTAACGACTGTAAAACAGTTACGCAGCTTCGTAGGATTGTGCTCCTACTTTCGTCGGTTTGTGCGCAACTTTGCCTCCATAATTGCCCCTTTGACCCAACTTTTAAGCAGTGCCAACGACATCTCATCATGGTCTCCCGAATGTGATCACGCATTTACCACTCTTCGCCGTCTCCTGACATCACCGCCTATATTGCGCCACTATGATCCCACGGCTGCAACCGAAATCCACACAGACGCCAGCGGTGTCGGTCTCGGTGCAGTTCTCGCTCAACGCAAGCCTGGATCCCCTGAGTATGTCGTCGCCTACGCCAGCAGAACGCTCAACAAGGCTGAGGTAAACTACAGTGTTACCGAAAAAGAGTGCTTAGCCATACTTTGGGCAATTGTGAAATTTCGCCCATACTTATATGGCCGCACCTTTGCTGTAGTTACAAACCATCATGCCTTATGTTGTAATCGCTGAAAGATCCATCAGGTCGCCTTGCTCGTTGGGCTCTGTGACTTCAAGGGTATGACATCCGCGTCGTGTACTGTTCCGGCCGCCAACATGCCGATGCTGATGCGCTCTCGCGATCACCACTGTCGACTGAGGCTGCCTCTATATCTTCTATGGAACACGCGCTGTCCGCTCTTGACATCGACACAATGACCTCTGCACAGCGCGACGATCCATGGATAACTTCGCTTCTGGACGTCTTATCTGGGGTACCGACACTTCCCATCACTCGAGCATTGCAACGCCAGGCTTCGCACTTCACCATTCGAGGTGGCCTCTTGTACCGGCGCAATTACTCACCAGACGGCAGGAAGTGGCTGCTCGTTATTCCCCGAAAGCTGCGCTCTACAATCTGTGCATCATTTCACTCCGACCCGCAATGCGCTCACGCCAATGTCTTCGAGACCTACGAGCGTTTAAGGAAGCGTTACTACTGGCGTGGGATGTTTACTTTTGTTCGACAGTTTATTCGCGGCTGCCACGAGTTTCGGCGACGAAAACAGCCACCGAATGCAGGGGCAGCTCCACTACAGCCGCTTGCGTGCTCTGACCGCCCATTCGATCGCGTCGGAATCGACCTTTATGGACCACTGCCATTGACCACAGCAGGTAACCAGTGGGTCATCGTTGCTGTAGATCACCTGACACGGTACGCCGAAACCGCTGCTCTTCCTACGGCGACCGCTCAGGACGTCGCATCTTTCATCCTCCATCGGTTTGTGTTGCGTCACGGCCCTTCTCGCGAGCTCCTCAGTTACCGGGGCCGTGTATTTCTATCCGATGTAATCCAAGCACTTCTCCGTCAGTGCCATATTGTACACCGGATGAGTACTGCTTACCACCTTCCGACGAATGGCCTGACTGAGTGGTTTAATCGGACCCTGGGTGACATGCTCGCGACGCATGTGGCATCTGACCAAACGAACTGGGACCTGGTTCTTCCGTTTGCGACCTACGCGTACAGCACCGCTACCCAGGTCACCACCGGCTTTTCTCCATTCTACCTTCTATACGGACGTCGACCATCGCACACAATTGACACTTTGCTGCCATACGCACCAGATCTATCTGAGTGCACGACCGTGTCTGAAGCCGCCCGTCACGCCGAAGAATGCCGCCAACTAGCGAAGCAGTTTACTACGGCTGACCAGCAACGCCAGAAAAAGGCCCGCGATGACGACCACCCTCCTGCCGCCAAGTTCGCCCTGGAACCCTTGTATGGCTGTATGTACCACCCTGTGCACCTGGTTTGTCTGCCAAGCTACTTTCAAATTACCATGGCCCATACCGCGTGGTAGAACGCACATCGCCCGTCAATTACGCCATTGAACCGCTTACGCCACCCGGTGACCATCGTCGGCGTGCACACGATATTGTTCACGTGGACCGCTTGAAGCCGTACTTCGACCCGCTCGTTCCTACTTGTTAGATTGCCAGGATGGCTTGATCTTTCTCGACGGGGGCAATTATAATGAAGGAATGATGACAGCAAAAGGGAACAGCAAGCATCATCGCAGAGTATGGCACCATGAAATCGGCGCTCGAGCTCCTCCATCTTCCTCGTCCTGTCGCTATCTCCAATCTCTCACCTGCCCGTCTGGTTCGCCCAATAAACCTCTTTACATTATTATTATTATTATTATTATTATTATTATTATTATTATTATTATTATTATTATTATTATTATTATTATTATTATTATTACAGAACGTTATGCTCTTTTGACCACACAGAAATAGCCGATTTAAGTGGCTATGTACCGCCTTCGATATTACACATGTTTAGAAAAGAAACAGTGCACAAACCAGTACCGAACTCAGGTGCATTGCTTCGTGGCACGTGAGTTGACACAGAGCCGCGCAACATTTCAAGACGTACCTGCTCAGGCATCATATTGGCTGAAACATCGTGTTAACATTTTTAATAGTGCGTGGCTGAAGACTGAAATTGCAGTATGCGACGCACGATCTGAGTTGCGTGACGAGTAAGTCGTCTCAAGCTTTCTGCCAATTACAAAGGCCTCAGCTGTAACTATTCGTCATAAGCCTCAGCATCACCAAATTGGGCAGTGTTGTAGGTGCACGAATCACCATGTGGACAATCATTGCGTACCTCACTACTTCGCAGCACAATCAAATATGGCGAAATCAACAATTTAACTTTTGGCGAAACAATCATGAATATTAACGTACTGAACACCTCGCAACTCTACTTGCTGATGTCGGTTCAATAAAGTTCGTACAGGCTCTAACATGGCCGCTGTTCTTACTTTAGATATTACTGTGCAGCGCAAAGCGCAGGCTTGGCGTCTACTTCTTTTTCCCCGGCGTATTTAGTCTTCTGTGTGTCTCTTTTTGCAGAACGATTCCATAGCTGGCAGAAATATCTGTGGACCAACACTCTACGAGCTGAACAACCACAACACCTGTGCGGCAGACATACTTGACGCATTGAATGCCACCGTAGACCTGAAAAATGAATGCGGTTTGGAAGGTTGCGACCTACTTTTGCAGCTTACCAGGTAGGTTGACTCTGGTGATCTTGTGTGTGAGTACCGTCACGCGTTATTTTCAGGAAACGTGGTGTTTTTCTAGCTCTAGATGCTCAGCGTTTGAGATTCTTGAAGAGAATCGCGTTTTGGGGCTCTGGGTTGTCACCTATCCATAGATCTCATTTGGCGTGCTCACGAATTCACGCTCAAAATAATGTAAATAAAAGCCTGAAACAAGGCTTCCAATACCAAACCTGGTTACAATAAATGACCAAGGTCTAAAAAATCATCGCCCAAGTATACTGTACAAATGGTTAACCAGCGAAAGCTTAAACGTGTGGCCCCGGTGTTTAGCAGTGGGTTCAACTCGACGGGGAACTGAAGACTTTCACAATTATTGGTCACATGTTCGTGCTCCTTAATGAGGTTAGACGCGCGTTCTGAAAAGTTCTGAGAATAAAAAGTGTGCATCAAACGTAGGCAAGAAGGACAGGAAAGACACAAAGTGCTGTGCTCACAAGTGAAAGCCTATTGGAAGGGAACATGAACTTGCAAGTACAACAGTGCATATGAAGTGAGCTTGACTTCTGAAAAAAAAATCGTTTCAAGTTATTTGTTATACAATGACCAAAATTCACGTTTGGGCAACGTGACCGAAAGTTGCCCAAATCAAGAATCACTAAACTTGCCAATCTAAAAGCTTGTGAAAGTTGTCGTGCGAACTGGCCATAGTGCTTGTGCTTCAATTGAGAGAGGCTTGAGATGGCTTTCACATTCATGTTTTTAACGCATACCAAGCGCACCACGTAAATTTCCTCCGAAGTTGGAAGAAAAAAAGGAGGAGAAATCAAAGTTCGAGCTATCGTGACTTTCGGATTTACGTCTACAGTGTTTCCACTGACCTTCGTACGTGATCCTCTAACCAAGATCACCGAAACAAATATTGAACTTTACGATGTCATAGCACAATCTCCAATCTGTACTGGCAAAATCTCGCATGTTTGTCTTCTCTTGAAGAGCATCACGTGGCCGAAATATGAGGGACGCCGTAGTGGAGGGCTCCTGCGGCGTCTCTCATAACTATATGGTGGTTTAGGAAGGTTAAACACCACAAATAAATCAGTCAATCAATCAATCAGGTGTGTCTTCTCGTTAGCAGAAGCTTTATTCTTGTTAGGGATATATTATTGGCTAGCTGTCTATCGCGACGTACACTATGAGCTGACTGCGATACGCCTTTGTATACTTATGAAAGCAACTATGTGGAACATCAAAGTAGTCACACTAAGAATTTAAATATAACTGTAGTTTCCGTGTTCGCAAATACTGTATGCTGTAATAAAAATGCATTGCCATTCTTCATTTTAAATCACTATGGAGTGCATGAAGCACTTAGGCTTCAGGGTTCGCAAGCCCTAATGAACATTGATTTTCAGCAATAAAAAGTCAGTGCAGTAAGGTGCATAAAAAATATTCTTCGTTTAAGAATTGTTGTTCTATATGCTACATACAGATTCACCATGGCATGGTGTATATAAGGCTGGAACCATTGTTTCTTTAATTTATGATGGAGACAATGCAACCACAGTTTAAACTCGCATTACGAGCTGCATTTAGTTAAAGAAAGGCTGTAGGTCTTGTAGTAGCTTGCCAAAGATCAACAATGTACTAGAATATTTGAGTGCACAGAATATTTTAAACAGTCAGAACCCTAAGAAGCCATTGAATTTTTTTCTGCGACAGTATACCTGTGAGACTTTCTTCTAAGATTATGGTGCTTACCTCACCTTTCGGTCGTTAGGAGCAGCCCCTGGTCAGCCATAGTTCCTAATCAATCACTCCTGGTTCATTTTAAGCACACCTTTTTTTCAAAAAGATTTTCTCGTGACTAATCATTTGCGCTATCGACCTTTTCGTTTTCTACTTCTTGTATTGCGCTGGGAAGCGATTGCCAAAAGCAGCTGCAATGTTCAATCTCTGGCAATAATGGAGCAAGAAGTGAGGACACTAGTGTTGAATAGCAAATATAGAATCTGTAAAATTAACGAGTACTACATGACAACAAAGTGATCATGACAACACGATCACTTTCGAGCTCTATTTTCGTCCTTTCGTGCTTCTTTCAGTTCAATTTTTTGAAGTGTGACAAGGTCAATACTTTTTTTCTTTCCTAGAGGCAACCTTGCGATGGAGGTCAACGGCACATGTATCAACAGGAAAGTTCAAGGTAGGTTTTCCTCAATACAAGACATAGCAATAAAACTAATGATAAAAAATAACTGCGTGTCAGTGCAACAAACAAATAGCATCATAGCATCCACAAGAGACATGTGTGTTGCCATTATTCTTGCACTCAGCAAGTCATTATTATTATGCACCATTATCAATTTAGAGTCTCTGTAAAAGTTCACCTAGCAATAAAAATACTTGCTGAATCGGCCGTAGTGAAGGCTTGGCGTAGTCATGCGTAGTCATGGTCACCGTCCAGTCTCCTCGCGGTAGCCCTGGGTAAGGTCCATGGCCCTGCTGCAAATCGGAAAAGCGTGGCAGGAAACCAGGTTGACACGTGGAAGAACTTCAAAGCTGCGTTCGAGAATCAGTTTAGGGACAAGCTTACGCTCTTGCAGTGGCAGCACATAGTCGTCAGATGTGTCCAGTCACCCAGTTAAAACCTCGTTGAGTACTCGTTGGCGAAACTGCATAACTTCATAATGTCTCGTCCAACTGGCAGATCCTCAGCGCATTGTATAAAGCACTACAGGGTGTGCGTGACGCACAATTAGCAACAACGATCACTGCACAACGGCCACGAACTTTGAGTGTATTTCTGTCCATCGTCACCCAACTCGACCGATCTTTAGAGCACGCCTCTGTTTTCTTAAGTCAACCAGCCATTGCAAACAGAACATCAACATCATGAATACCTGCCATATCTGTACAGCATATTGATAATATGAATGACAGATCTTCGTCACCAACCACACCGGTTCAGTCACCAGTCTCGTGTAGCACTTCCTCGTTACCATAGGAAGAGCGAAGCAGTCGTTACTCTGCAACCAGCTCTAGAAATGGCACACGACCTAAGCAAGGTCGCATGCAATCATTGTCTGCAAACTCGCCATTTTGCATCCAAGTACCCTCGTTCCAGATACAATACTAAGGGACAGCAAACGAATCTCTTCCATGGCCTGATTCAAGCTTCATGGACCACTAAAAACGATTGTGCAGTGTGCCGTAATTCAAGCCTACACATTCCATTGTAGACCCTGTTGATGCGTTTCAAGATAGTGGTTTCCGAACACACAATGCTTTCGCTGAGTGTGTTGGATTTTCGAACCTTTTAACATGGTCCAAGCCTTCATATTTGTTTGTAGGCGGTAGTTCCGTCATGGCAGTTGGTAAATTATGCACTCGCCTCGCTGTGGGGCCTATTCCTGCAGCATTGAGGTCTAGTTCTGGCCAGAAACCCTTGCTTTCGATCCTGAGAGAGGACTGGTTTGAAGCCGCTCACGCTGAGCTTCTCGTCCCACTCACTGAACAGAAATTCGCCATCCCAGAACGGTTATTGTTATGCAATGCCTGGAGAAGCCGCTGCCAAGAAGTTTACAAGAGCTCTACGCTTTTTTTTTTACACAGGCAACGTCTGCTGCAGCCTGTTCGCCGTTTTCACCCTTGCCGCACAACCCCAGCACACATGCTATGCCTACCAAATGAAGGGTTAACTAATGTGATGCCACGTGAACCAAACGCGGCGGAGCTTTACTTGAATGATACCACGTTGGAATCGCCATGGCCGCCACTACGTGATGCCCACGTAATTCTTCAGTTAGAACAAAAAGTCACTGCCGTTCAACAGGTATTGCACCAGCGTGTAGATGCGTCTGCCACTGATGACAATGACTTGGGGCTTGACAAAGGTAATGACCACTCCAATGATCTTTTGCCGGATGTATTATCATACATATGTTGCCTGCATAGATCCAGCAAACAGGATGACGATTTCATCCGAAGCCTATGTCAAGAGCTTCATGCTAAGGATTCAAGCGTCAATACAGCATGACTGGACCCGGGACATTGCAAGAAAGTTAGCCAGCCACTGCAAATCAATCAATTGAAAACGAAGAAGCAAAACGCAGTCAATGCAAGCATGCACTCAGCCGAACTAGCACGTGTCAGTTCTCTAAATAGGCTCCGACAGCATCTCAGCATGTAAGATTGAGGCTCTCCGAGATAAGGGACCAGCAGCTGGTGTGGACAAGGCCAAGAAACAAGCCATGAAGTCAGTTGCTAAACTACACAAAAACAAGCGTCACAAGTCAAGTCAAGACAGTCCGGCCATTAGGAGAAACATGAAAGCGGGAAAGGCACACCAGGCTGCAGCTGTCTCTTATCGTGACAACCACGTCGTCTACAGTAGGCTTGAACTGACTGACTTGTCAGCACGTACAGAAGTATGTCCCAATGTTGAAAAAGAAGAGGAGTAGGTTGTCCGCCAGCTGGAGTTGAAGCAGAAAAAGTAAAGCACCTTAAATAATGTGAAATGTGCCTTGTGAAAGGGGCTCAGGAGAAGTAGTAAGGTCACTGGGCTCTAGGCACAGAAAGAAGAGATCAAAGTCAGAGGTGACCATATCTTTTATGAAGTCATCGCTGAAGCGGTGCGAGAAGAGGCAGCAAAAAAGGGGCAGGAAGTGGAATTCACGCGCTCAGCAAGTCGAACAACGTCAGACAGAGCACCAGCAGAAACGTTGGAACAACATCAAGGCACGCAGAAAGGCCAAATCTCGGACGAAGATCGGGAGTTTTAAGAAGGACCACATCTTTCCAAGATTCTGGGAACATAATGGTGTTTTCGTTGCTGCTATACTACGAAGCTTGAGAAACAAAAACGGGGTTGGGTGTGATCTGAAAAGCCCATTGACCATTTTGAAAAAATATAGGGGTCGGATGGGAGACTGCACGTAATATGGCAGCCTTGTGCTCAATGTTGAGCTAGTCGAGACGCGGTTTCGTTGTGTTGTTCCTAAACACGTGTGCACCACGACTGCATTGATGCCGTAGCTCCTGTTGATTAAATCGCTTTCGCCGCATCATCTCCTTGTTTACGTCGCCAAGTCCTCACAATGAAAATGCACATTTGGAGGAGGGCACGGCATCCGAATGTAGTAATTATAACTTCGAGCTTTCTGGACTGACTCCACTGAGGTTGCCATAAAAACTTGATGAGATTTCATTCTGTCCTTGTACTAATTTTTCTAGCGTATCCGTGCCAATTCCTGATTTTCTCTATCTCATTGTGGTTATATTCTTCTTCTGGACGAATGGATATAATGGGCCATCAAACGATGCTAGTGCTATGCAATCGGCTAGCTCATTCAATCTTGATCCCGACTGACCTGAGGCCCACAGTATCTTTAGGTGTTTCAACTGAGGTTGCGCCTATGCTAGGAATTTCCTTAAAATTCGAATGTTTCACAAGCTGTAAAAGCTGCACACACTGAAAGGGAATATGTTATTAAGACTGCTCTGTTTTCATTTGAAAGAAGTTTCGAAAGTCCTAAAATATTTACTCAAGCACAGCTTCAAAAACTGAAGTAAAGACAAGCAGCCTCACTGAGAAGCACCAGTGAATCAAATAAGAGTAAATTCCTACAACTGCCTTTCATTGTACATAGAATTGTCTGTGGCTACTATAATATTCTTTCTTCATTAACAAGGTAATCTTTTAATGGAAACACCGGTGCCCTTCTCTGTCCTCTATCTCTATCTCTCTCTCTCTTATAATATATATATATATATATATATATATATATATATATATATTGTGGGTTAGATACCAATCCTCTTCATCTGTAAATTATCATCATTATCATGAGTTGCTCAGCATCCTCATCGTTGTCACGTAGCATCATCATCTTGGTCCGTTCATCTCAGCTGTCGGCTGCCGGTTCTTCGGGCCTAATAAAAGGTCTTCTAAACCAAGACTTCATAAATATATAATTTTGTACTACCTCCTAGTTTGCAAGCGAAAAGAGACAGAAAAAGGAACTGCGAGTAAAGGTCGAAAAAAAAGAAACAAAGTCTGTAACAAACCACCAGAATATACATACACACACCACACACACACACACTCACATAGATATATATATATATATATATATATATATATATTATATATATATATATATATATTATATATATATATATATATTGTATTCAATTACCATTGAGGGCTTCAAGTTTAGTTGGGCCGTTTCCACTCGTGCATCTAGTCCGCAGCGAACGTCAATGGTAATACATAATCTAGGTGGCTCTTTTGGCATCGCTATTTCTTTCGTCACGCTCTGTATGTGGATCGCCCTGCTAGGAGAAAGAACCGCCGACAAACAAAGCGGTCTTGTTCGCCCTCTCGATAGCGTCTGTGGCTTGTGGACATAGCCCAATCTCACGTGGGACGTCATGCAACACACTAGGAGAATCGGAAGTAGCGGAGAGTTAAACTGAACTACTCCATGGGGGGAACGCACGAAAATCATAGTGTCAGGAATGTTGATGATATTTCACCTAGTCACGTTAAGCAACCGCAGTGAGGCTCCGATATCATAGCTCCGAGTGAGCGCCTCTCCGCGGTGGATCACGCGCCGTGATGTAATGCTTGCCAATCCAGAGCTCCTGCTCTCGCGCTGAAGGCCATTGCGACGCGATGGGTGACCTTGAACTCGGTGGCGCTGAACAACTCTCGCTCGAAAATGTATGGGGTCGTTCAGAACATTGCATATCGAATCACATACGCAGCACCCAACATGGCGACTTTCGTGCGCCGACATGAAGGCCTTCACTGACACTAGAGCAGCAACTGTGAACTTTTACTCTAAGGGCTGGTATCTTTTACTTTAAAACCTCGGCAGACATCAGTAGACGGCTCGTAAACCCTTATACGTGGGATGCTCTCAACGCGAAGAAGAAACTGTTAAAGGTAGTTTCCAGCCTAGAGCGACCTTTCTCTTTCAACCGACGTTTGTATAGTATTCGTGATCGGATCCAAAAGTGTACCTGGAAGCTTTACTCAGTTAATCATACACTTTGTTTCCATTCAGTTCATTTCTACCCCCTTGCGGTGAAAAAGTTTTTATTTGTAATCTTTAACGCTCTAATCGTGCAGGTGTGGCTAATTTGGGCGGCGTTTGCACAAACTACAGTGCTGCAGTTGTAGAAGACGAGCCACTGCTCTACAGCGGAGTATCTACGAGACTGAGATCGCTCATGCGTATGTTTGTTTTTCGCATCTTAAGTACATGCTCTGGTAGCATAAGCAGGGCTAGTATTTTCATCAAAAAAATTCGACATGCCTTTTTCAAGGCATTTCAGCTGTGAACTGTTATATCTGTGATGTGAAGGTCACCAACTGAAAATGCCCTTTATTTGCTTACAAATAACTTTTCTTTGTGAAGTAACACAAGATACAGTGCTCGTCAATATTCATAAATAATTTTTTCGCGTTTAAAAAACTATTCAATGTTTCCTCAAATAGTGATTGAAAAGGTGTGACTGTATTAGTCTGCGGCGTTCTACGAGACGTTTGTGTAAATACAAATTTAGAGACATCCCTAAATACCCTTCAAGTTCGTGATGAAGGATTTAATCCAGTGCAACTTCTTTCTCATGCAACACTTACAACGTCTTAAAGTTCCAACAACTGTGGGCCATCCAGTCAGCCGGGAGACCCTTGGAGACAGGATTTCTCCATCGCCCGTGACGAGGCCTAGGCCGGGGCCTCAGTCCTCTGGTTTTCAGAAAACTTGCTTCGCTCGCTCGCTCATTCACTTCTCAATCACCTATTCACTCTTAACACCACTGTGTCATATTTTTAAGTGATTCATGTCACGCGTGTCACTCAGACATGCAATTACCGTTACAGTGAGGCTGCCTTGTAAAGAACCGTGAACCTCTGTTGTGTGAGTTCAGCTGGTTCTTTGATTCGTTTTTGTGAGCTAGCAGAATTTTGGTTCACATCAGTTAGCTTAAACATGCAGCTCGGAGTATATGTCTATAGGTCTACTGAGTTTATGGGCCAGCAGAAGTTAAACGCTGTGAATGTGCTCGATTGGGCACATTACCGAGCGTTAAGACGTGCTCAGTAATAGAAGATTCCGATGGACCAGGTGACGTAGGCTTGTTTTGTTGTTCCTGAGTTTTTGATGATGCTCGGTAATAATATTATCGGGGGGTTTTACGTCCCAAAACTATGATATGATTATGACGGACGTCATAGTGGAGGGCTCCGTAGTTTTGACTATCTGGAGCTCTCTATCGTGCACTTACATCGCACAGCACATGGGCTTCATCATTTCGCCTCCATAGAAATGAGACCTCTACGGCCGAGATCGAATCTGCTTCCTTCTGGTCAGCAACCAAGCACCATAACAACTTCTTCGCCAAGCTTCAGTGATCGTGCTCGAAGTTGCCGAGAGTAACAGTATGCTTGTATAGAAAGAACACGCCTTCAGGTATCCTCTGGTGCCAACGTAGAGGCAATATTGAAAAAAATAAGTCAGTAATGCCTAATGAAGTGAATAGGAGAAAGGTCAGCCTGAAAAGCGTCTCCAAAGCCTGCTTCTCGTGAATGGTGTACGATGAAATGGTGTAGTCACAGACAGAAAAATGGTAGCACGTGATTGCGCTTTGCAGTGACTTAAAGTACGTTTGTCATGTTTGTTCATATGTGCATGTGCACTGCGGATTAAGTACAGCATTATTTACGTAGCACGCGCTATAGTACTTAGGAACTGCCATGTTTTGCTTGGCTCACTCAAGTTCAACAAAATGTTAGCACGCGTTGTCGGTGGCTAACATGCTCGTGTGACGAATATTTTTTTGTCCGGAAATTACCCAAAGTCCAGGCAACGTACGTACATTATTTACATTTGCTTAGGCACATACTGCACACGTCCGCAGATCATGTGCTGCATATCGTCAAGCATCTACGGCAGCCATTAGTATGGCTGGGTGAAATCACTTTTAATGCTAAAACACTAGCACTTACAGTTTAAAATAAGACCGTTCATTTCGAGACCCATGTGGTGCTTCCTTTATGGTTTGTCTGAAGCGGCCGTCCAGGTGGGGCCGTTTTCGCAGTTAAACAATTTCTTCTATCCCATGCGCTATTCGTCCGGTTCGCGTCCGTATCGTGGACAGTCAGAAGCATGGCCAGTACCTATAGCTTGCAGGCCACTCTGTCCCCCGCAATCATAGTGGTTACGTGTGGCGAATAGTAAGGTTGAAGGAGAAGAGTGTTGAGGTGGCACTGCAATCGGCATAGTGTGGTGGCGCTGAAATATGACGTAGAGCTCGGAGAGGAACTGGAGTAGGTGATAGGGCACAGGGCACTCACGCTCGAGTGACGAGCGGTGCTCCAGATCACTGTAGTGGAAGGTTGTCTATAACATGAACGTCAATATAGCTTTGCCGGTCCTCTACTTTCACATGAATCTAGCCGCCCGCGCTTTTCTTTCTCTGATTCCCTCTGTTCCTCCCTTACGTCGCGTCGAGAAGGCCGTGCGCATGTAAAGTGGCCAATGTACCCAACTAGCAGTTCGATTCATCCAGTATTCGACTATACCAAGGTGTAAGAATATTCAGGTGTTGACACTCGCTGCACCTGAGTGGCCAGATAATGTTCGGTCTCGCGGGAGCAACGTGCCGCAAGCCGTCAAATAGTGCCGCGGTCAACGTACCCAGCAAAATGGTGCTCATTCATTTAAATTCTTGTTTTTTGAAAAGTTTTCGGCCGGGAAACCACGCCTAATACTTCTAAGAAGTGTACCAATCAAGGTGGGAAGTGCTGTGCTTCCTCAGCTACTACGACTCTCACGGTCGGTAGAGTTTCCCAGTTTCTAAGACTTGTGGCCGGACCGTGCCACCGCTGTGCTAGCTAGGCCTTAGTGCGCGCTGCACGGCGCTTCCGCGGAAGGGTCGGCGACTGCTCTCGGCAAGTCAGCGATGGCGGAGATGATTGTGGAAGGAGTGGATTTGCCCCCCGAAGAGTTTACCGAAGAATATAGCTGTAAAACAGCATCTTCAAAGAGGACAAGTGCCGTAGCCGACAGAGTTAACACCACGCAAGTGCTTCGAGTCAGAATGGGCATTGCGTCAGCAGGGCTCCCAGGATGAAGATGGGTGGCCATAAATAAAAAAAAAACGCGAGGGCGTATCGGATGCCACCGTTGCTGAATGAATACATAAAGTTCTGATCAGACCAAGAGGAGGACTTAACCAAGACAGGGCCCACCGTCATTGGAAGGGCTATCGTCGATGTGGCAAGACTCAACCCGTCACAGACCAACTAAGACGTAATCTGTCCCACCTAACTGCGAAATATTATGGTTATGGACAACCAGTGTTTATTTTGTACTTTCTCATGCACGGTGTATCTTTGCGCAGGATACGCCATATGCAGTGTCCAAGTATATGTCAACTTCACTGCTGCAAGGGTTAATTATAATCATTAGCGTTTGTCGTGGGGACAAAAATGTGTGTCTAGGCGTTAACGAGATTGCGTCCAGCTCAAGTGGTCCCATTTTAGTCAGTCACCAATGAACATGGTAGAAGCTCTGAAATCTCAACGCGCTGTAAACAATCATCTACTTCTGTGACATACGTTTCACTTTCATGTGATATACGAAAAAGCCATGTTTTTTTATTCCTATTTCGGAATTC